CTCTTTTTCCTGAATAACTTCCTGGAGTTTTTCAAAGTTAACTGTCTTTTGTGCAGCCCTACGCAACCCGGAAAGGAGGCAAGTAGAAAAACGGTCCCTAGCTTCAATGCCAGCAGGGGAGTTGTAATCCCAGCCTGGGTCTTGGCCTGGGACCACCGTCGCCTCAAGAGGGTGAGCAGGGGTGGCTTGATGAATTTCATCTGCATATGTTCTAGCCTGTTCCCAAACCCTTCTACATTCTTCTGGAAGTAGGGTGTTGGAGAGGATAAGATAGATATCATGAAAAATGAGGCTGTAGGACTGGATGAGGTATTGAAGCTCTTCAGTGTAGGTGGCAGGGTTAGTTGTGTATGATCCGAGACGTTTTTCTTTTGTGAGAGGTCTGATATAGAAAAAGGGTCATGTATCCGAACCACGCCTTCCACACCCACCGTCTCGCGAAGGGGGGCTAGGAGGGTCGGCACGGCCTTGGACCAGGTTACCAGGGGGCTGCACGGAGGAGTTGTTGGAAGAGGAGGGTATAAGGATCGAGCTGCTGGAGTGGAGGGGAGTAGGGCCGAAGAGGGGGGTGGGGGTGGGGGACCCTGAGGCTGTTGAGGCTGCCTGTAAGGGGGGTCTCGTCTGCAGGGTCGAAATCTGAGATGGAGGAGGAGGTAGCAGAGCTGGGACTTGCAGTGTCTATAGTGGGGGGAGGGGAGTTTTGGAGAGGAGGCAGAAGTGTGCGTAGAACAGTGGGTGAAGGAGAAGTTGAAGAGGTGACATGCTAGCATGAGTGGAGGGTAGAGATTAGAGGGATTGCAATTGAGGCAGAGGTGGGGATGTTCACAGAAGAGAGAAAAGGACTCATAGGGAATCTCTACCCACCGTTTTGAACGCTCACAGAAATTATATGTCCCGAATAATATCAAGATTGAGGGACCCCTGGGGGGGGCCACTGATTTTGGTTGTCTAAGGGGTATGTTGGCCAATCTTGCGTGCAGAAATGAATTAGGCATTTGGGTTTGATATCAGGGGAAAGAGAAAGTGTAGTGAGATTGTTTAAGAGGCATTTAAGGGGGGAATCGGCCGGCAGGGATGACAAGCCTCCCATGGTGAGACAGGTAGACTAAACAGGGCGTCCGCCGAAGAGTCGGCTTTCCGAGAAGTGTGGCTGTGGCAAAACCTGTCGTCACAGGGGTTTGGCACAACCAGGGTCCTCCTGGAGAACCCAGGGGGTCAAGGCACCTAGTGCAAGGATTTTTGAACCAGACCGAAAGCACTTGACTGGGCAGCGGGTAGGAGCGTGTTCAAGATTCCTGCTGGTCGAATAGGGCTTACTGTGGGGCAACAAACATGGAGCCTCCGAGACTCCCTGTTACCCGACAGATATATAAGTCCTTCAGAATCCGCTGTGGGCCAGCAGACGTGGGACCCCCCGGGGTCTGCTTCGGCCTGTCAGCCATGGGATTCCTTGGGGGGGGGAGAGAGAGAGAGTTTTACAGAAGCCACTGTGGGTTAGCAGACTTGGGACCCCTGGGGCCCACTGAAGCCCAGTAGCCATGGGAGTTTTAAGTTTAAGAGATGAAAAAGAAGAGGAAGCCTTTATGGTCTGCTGTGGCCGTGAAGGCCAAGGCGGGGTGCATTCCCCCTCGCCCTGGGGCCAGAGGGGCTGCCAGACAATCAATGGTCAGTTCCACCTGGGGATCCCGGGCAAGTTTCAGGCTTCCATATCTGGGGAACTCACCTATCCAATGGTCGCTAGTGGATGCAGGTCACGTGTTCAAAACAGTAGGGAAGGTCCGGGAGGGCTGGAGTGGCCACCGGTGCTGGGTTGGGGATCCCGCCTATGGGGATAGACCTGCACAAGGGCGGGAGAGCACCCGATCCGAGTCATGGCACCAATGAAAGAATTTTGGCACCAGTAATGACTCCACACCTGGCCAGGACCAAGAGATTTATTAAAG